AAAAGGCCATTATGCCTAAAGTCTATTGTATTGTGCTTGACACTTTGCTATTCGGTCACTGGGCACTTTATTGTGACACATGCACGGTCCTGGCCACTCTGTCATAGTCAGACACATTGTTTGAGAACTTTGCTTATCGTCCGACACACAGATGCCTAAAATACAATACCTATCATCCAGCACATAAAATGATGGGCACTATGCCTATCAACCCAACACAAGAGGTGATGAGCATTCTGCCTATTGTCAGACACAAATGGCAATGGCACACTGCCTGTTATCTGACAGACAGGGCAACAGGCACGCACACTGCCTATCTTTCAACTCATGGGGTGATGGCATTCTGCCATTTGTTCTGGAAAAAGGGACATGGGACACTAATAATCATGCAAGAAAGGGCACTCCAAGAATCGTCTTATACAAATTGCCCCTATCAACTCTACCCTTCATCCAACACAAAGTGGTACTAGGCTGATTATGTGACATTCAATGCTGGGCACCTAGCCCAATGTGCAATTCATGGTGCTGTGCACTCATTCTATGATCTGACCCACAATGCTTGACACCTAGCCTATTATCCATCCAAGACTATTGGCACAGAGCATAATCAACAGATATGCTGTGCTCTGCCTCTTAACCCACTGCTCTGCACTGGGCATGGAGACTACCACTGTCTGATACTTGGCACTGAGACAACAGTGATTCGTGCCCAGTACTGGGATTACTGTCCAACATACAGCACTGGGTTCAAAAGTCAAGAAGCAGTGCTGGCCAGCGAGGCTGGTTACTGAGCTCAGAGCCATATCAGACAGCCCAAACACACACACACGGTCACACTATTAGTACATATACGTACGTACACAGTTGAGCTCAGGCTGTAATCCTCTCCCAGGCAGAATGCTGCATTCTCCTGCCAGTCCCGGTGGGTTGCTGTGTTATGTGCCTTGTGGTTAGGACATGTTTGTCTCTCACCTGTGTTAGCGTCCCAGGCAGGCAGCCGCTGTCAGCTCCGGTACCCCCGCCCCCCGGCATCCTTTACCTCCGTCTATCTTCTTCCCGCACCTCGAACACTGCACGACACTGCCAGGCACACGGGGAATGTCAGCCTAGCGGCCATTGGATGACGGGGCGTGAGGGCTGCGGTGTGTCCGAACCTGTGATTGGCAGATTTGACAGTAGGCGGGGCGGCAGCGAGAAGTGGGGATCCCAATTCCCAGTTAGTGAAACAAACATGGAACGTTGTGTGTGCGTTCTGTGTTCCATATTAACCCATTAAAGAACACACCTCATACATGACATCGCATTTAATCACAATTAATTCCAATATTGATTATAATCGTTGGCATTGGATGGATGTTACAACAATAGAGTCGTTAAATGTGTACGCTATTCCATTTTGGAAGAGAAAGCTTAATCACATTTTTAAGTCAGTAAAATGTCATAGGTTAAAAACCACAACATAGTTAAAAACATTAAGCTTTAGAATTGTACACAATTAAAATAATAATAATTTAGGTATATATTCCTGATCTAGATACATTCTACAGCTCAGGTATAGTCACAGTCTGGCAATTTTGGCTAGATTTTGAAATTCAGAGCACGATTCCGCTCAACTCACTCTTTAGTAAATAACCGTAATGTTGTTCTGTGTTTGAAAGAAAAGTTGTCACAAGTTAACAGAACCACTGGACACTTAAAGGCAGAGACTAGCGCCCTAGGCAAAACCAGCTAATTGAACCCCACCCTCAACTAAAACAAAAATTGCCAACTTTGCATATCTCTTCCCCCATCCCCAGCTCCTCTGTGTGTCTACCCCCCAGCACCTTTCTTTAGTTCTCTTTCTCCCTCATCAAGCCCCTCTGTGTGATTCTTCCGCAGCCTCTTGTCTCTTTCTCCCACAGCCCCTTTGTGTGTCTCTTATCCTCCTAACCCATGTGTGTCTTATTCATCCCCAAGCTCTTTGGATCTCTTTGTCCCCACAGACCCTCTGTTTATCTCTTTGTCCCCTTACCCCCACTATGTGTCTCTTTGTCTACCACAGCACCTCTATGTGTCTCTCTATCCCCCAACCTGTTTATGTGTCTATTTTTCCTGTTACCCCACCCCTTTGTGTGTCTCTTTCTCCCCCAGCCCCTTTTTGGGTCACTTCTCCTCCCAAACCCTGTGTGTCTCTCTATCGCCCAACCTGTTTGTGTATCTATTTTTCCTGTTACCCAACCCTTCTGTGTGTCTCTTCTCGTAGACCCTTTGTGTGTCTCTTTGTCATTATCCCCAGTACCTTTACTCCAGTGAGCTAGATTCCTCCTCCAGAATTTGACTCCTTACTGCAATATATAGTTCCTCATAGAGCTGTGTAGACTACAGAGATACCCATACAACAGAGAAATAACACAGAGTAGGGCACAATAAGGATACTCATAACTATATCACACAACCAGGAGAAGTTGGTGGGTATGTGCAGTAGGTGTTATTAAAACTATTAGTGACAGACAGTGCAATGTTTTGTGTCAGATATGTCATCCTCCACTTGTCATCCCTGTGCTTCCCTAGCATTACATATAATACACACAATGCATCCCTACACACACACACACAGAGAGACACAATGCATCACTGCAAACACACACAATGCATCCCTACATACACACACAGAAACACACAGTACATGCCTACACACACAGAAATACAATGCATTCCTACACTTACAGAGACAGAACAACACAATGCTTTCCTACACACATACACATACACATAGTTACATAGCTGAAAAGAGACTTGCGTCGATCAAGTTCAGCCTTCCTCACATTTGTTTATTGCTTTAGATTCAAAAGAAGGCACACAAAAAAAAATATCCTTGAATATTCTGTTTTTGCAAGTATGCATCTAGTTGCTATTTGAACATCTGTATGGACTCTGATAAAACCACTTCTTCAGGCAGAGAATTCCACATCCTTATTGTTCTTACAGTAAAAAAACAACAACTTTTCTTTGCCTTAGACAAAATCTTCTTTCTTCCAGTCTAAATGCATGACCTTGATCCCTATGTAATGTCCAGTTTGTGAATAGATTTCCACACAATGGTTTGTATTGGCCCCGGATATATTTGTATAATGTTATCATATCCCCTCTGAGGCGACGTTTTTCTAAACTGAAGAGGTTTAAATTTGTTAACCTTTGTTACACACACACCTTGCATCCTTACACATGCACACACGCACAATATGTATCCATTACATACAGACACACACACATAGTGCATCCCTTACACACACAGAAACACAATGCATCCTTTACACACACACACAGACACAGAAACACACAATGCATCCTGTGCACACACAGAAAAACAAACACTGCTTTCCTAACATGCACACACAAACACAATGCATCTTACACACACACTGTATCATTTACACACACAGAAACACACAACGCATCCCTTACACATAAACACACAGTGCTTACTATCCCTTACACAAACACACTGCACTTACTATACACACACAATGCATCACGATATGCACACACTTACTCCCTTACGCACAGGGCCATCTTTATTATTGATTGGACCCCGAGCAAGAATTTACTTAGGCCCCCTGGATCCTGCCCTCCCACTCCCTAGCATGCACTTACGCCCTTCACCCCAACTCACACACACAAAAAAAAACACGCACCTCGACACACAGATACACTGAAAGATACACACGGTGACCCACAGATACATAACCTGGCACTGACACACAGATACGCACAGTGACACATACACACTGACACAGATACACACACTGGCACACACACAGGCACTTTTTGTATCACACAGCTTTGTTACAATGCTGCTGCCCAACCCATGTGTTCCTGATTAAGGGTTAATAAGTATATAGGGGTGTATATTAAAACTACCCCTCTCTGACTCATTAGAGATATCTTTGCCAGAAGCTCAAGGAAGCAAGGTGAAAGGTCAGTGTAGGACCCGTCTAGGGGGTTCTGCCTTGACATTGGCAGGCGGGCATTTCTTCCAATGACCTCCATTTGTTTAATATACATAGGGATTTAGAAGAGAGCGCAGGTAACTTTTTCTTTGTTTTTTTACTGTATATATTGGGGCTGATGTGTACTGTGGTCGTTGCTGCCTCCCAGCAGTGATGTGAGTGAGCGCAGGACTTATCTTTTTGTATTTGTACACACACAGGCACATACATACTGACACACATATACACACACACCTTAACACACAGATACACACACCCAGTGTTCTGAGGGGAGGAGCAAAGACGTAGCACGACGCTGCGTCCTCATGGTTAACGCGGCTGAGAGAGTTCAGCGGGAGTTGTAACAGGGAAGCCCGGCACCAGTAACACAATGCCGTATATCGAGATATGACAGGAGAAGCTGTCTAGCGCCATGCAAACAGAAGGCTGCCCAGCACTGAAGAGAGAGAAACTTGCCTAGCACTGGAGGGACAGAAGGTTGCCTACCAGAAACAGCAGGAAGCCTCCACATAGAGCTTAAACACTGCCAAGCAAGCCAAGTACTGCTCCTATATCTCTCCCAAGTACTCTACTGAGGCTTACCTCTGCCTAATTCGAATTCCGTATGTGTGAGATTCAGTTCTCAAATGTTACACATACCCCAAACCTACATGAATTCATAGATTGTGATCTAGGAAAGCATGGTGTGATTAATCTTAAGTGATTAAGAAAAAGGTTAGGTAAAGGACAAGGAGAAAAGAAAGTGGCTGTCTCTTTCCCTATTGCTTTCTGTTTCCTTTGTTCTGTGTACACCTTTGTATATTTTTACTAAATTACATTTTCTGAACCTTCAGCAACACTGCAGGGAACGGGTGAGGTAAAAGAAGGGAATAGCTATTAGCAGCTATAAAAAGAGATTATATAAAAAGGTAAGAGGGAGGAAGGAAATTTGCACAAAATAGCCTTACAAAAGAGAAAAGGGAAGAGGTAAAGAGGTAAAGAGGATAAAATAAGGGGGAAAGGGAGCGGAGCCTGGACTGTAAGCAGGCAAGACGTGCATTGCACGAGCTCCTGTTGCCAGTGCTGATTACCCGGTGATATTACCCGGGCTGGCAACTCGGAGTCCTCTACTCATGGTGACAACCATGCTGGTGGCACCTTAACCCACCTGTGGATACCTTAATTGACGCTCTGAGGCACCGAGAACAGAGGCAGCAGGTTAAGGCATACAGGAGTCAGAACGGGGGAGAGACGGACGGTCTCCTCCCGTTGAACTAAGCTACTCTAAACACGACTCTCCAACCCCCCCCAACCCCTCTGGACCGGCAGGGGATATCTTGGACCCACCACCCTGGAGAGTAGTCAGCTACACCAGCGTTACCTTTCTAGTCCACTGAGCAGATCACGCAGTGCAATCAAAGACCCCAGGACGCAGTCTGCACAAACGCACATGGCACGACTGCAATCAAGAGGGCACTCAGCGATACTTATGCCTTCTCACTGAGGCGGCTGGATCAAATCTTCCGGGCCTTTTGGCTCAAGATACAAGCTCATCTACAAGACACCACTACCCACAGCTCAGTGACGCGGAAGGGAAACAGGAGAGCAGGGCACTCAGGCAATGTACATCCTCCTCAGAGCATAAAAACCAAAATGTAGCTCCCGCGACCTCACTACCGCTCACCTAGGCAGAGAGCCACACGAGGCAAGACCTCCAAGCATCATCCACGCAGGCAGAGAACTGCACACCAGCAGAGAAGATTCCCCACCCCCTGTGATGGGGATAGACTTGGTCCCTCAACGAACCCAAGTCTGTGGTTTACAGATGTCGGTCCTCCTGCTACCACCGGCACAAGCGACACAGCAACCCTGTCACCTAGAATAATTGGCTAAGCTAGCTTCTGGGACTGATACCTGGACGTATTTTCTCCTTAACAACCAGAGAAGCTATTTTTGCGTTTTACATGCCATGCACCTGACCTTACGTACTATGCTTTTTCTTATGATTTGCTTTCATTTCTGTTATCTCTCCATACACTGCCTTATATCACTGCAGTACAGCTTACTACTGACACTGCACCCAGAGGTGCATTAACAGCGATCTTACTAGCATGTTTACCTAACGTAACACTTTGTTGTATCACCATGTCTGACTAGATATCAAAATATAATGACCATATCTAGTTCAATTTACTGTACTAGCTAATATTATGACCTCCCTTCGTTTACTCTCATAGTTAGACATGATTGATTAGCTTGATGTTTATCTTTCTCAATACCCCAATTGTAACATGTGATGCTATGCTTGAGGAATGCTGTTGGGGTACCTCTAGCTTGTGTGTACGCAGCTTATGTACTGCAAAAAAAATTATTAAAAGGGGGGGAGAAAAGGGTTTTATTTTCCTCTCCACCTCCATTCTTTAATAATTACGATTAAAAACAGAGAAAGAAGGAAAGATAAATAAGAGAAGCGGGGGAGAAAGAAGGGAAGGAGAGAAAGGGGAAAGAAAGGAGAAAATCATAAGTCTTCTGCACCCAAAAAGAGAAAGCAGGAAGCATAGTGACTGTTTGAGCAATCCCTCCCAAAAAGAGGAAGGAGTCGTCTCAGAAAATTCTGGTGAGTGAAGGAAAGAAGAGAGAAAATGGCTATGAAAAAAGTATAAGAACCCGAGCAGCACAAAAGGGAAAAAAAATGAAAATAAACCAGAGAAAAGACTAATTTTTTTCACCCCAAGCCACAACCTTCAAAGGGAACCTAAACCAATCTTGGTTAGCAAATAACGCCCAAGCGGGTGAAGATTGAACCACAGGAAGTAACAAGCAAAAGTAACTTACAGAAAGATGGCTCCTACAAATAGTTATGCATACATCTAGACAAACTATTTACCAAATTGAGAGAAGGAATACAAACTAGTACATCAGATATATATATATATAAAAAAAAAAAGGAAATGGTATTCCTGAGTCCTCGCTGTCAGGCTCCCGCGGACGGCTGCGAGGGGAGGCTGCACTCCGCTCGCAGTACTCACCCTCCAGCCGTCCGCGGTCCCCTCCACCTCGTGGGTACGGCGAGCGGCATCCTTCCAGCCTCGGATGCCGCCCGCCATTCCCTCCACGTCCCCCAGCGGCAGCATGCATGACGCTGCACGCTGGGAGACCGCCCAGGGTTATACACGCCGGGTTCAGTCACCTGACCCGGCGTTAAAGGCAAAGTGCCACAATCACAGTGGGAGGTCTAAATATCTCCCACGTGTGATTGTTAATTCTGATTGGAAATCATCCAATCAGAATTAACCTGATGGTTTAAATACTTACCTTTCCTGTTCCTCCTTGCCCTGTTGTGGTCTTTGCTTGTTAGTATTGATTCTGAACTTGTGCTTCTGGTTACTACTCTCTGGCTTGTTATCCGACTCTGTGACTTTCTCCTACCCTTTGACCTCGGCTTGTTTCACGTTATTCTGTCTTCTGGTTCCCCTTACTCGGCTTGTTTCCTGACTATTCTTTGTGTGCTTAGCCCGGCCACTCTAAGGTCCGGTACGGCACTTTGTGTGTGTGTGTGTGTGTTGGCGTGTTTGGTTCCCCGAATCGTGACATTACAACAGGGCCATAATGGAACCTGCTGACATACCACAGCTTCTAGTTAATCAAGAGGCTAGAATGGATGGCTTAGACCACCGTATGGATCAGTTTGCTCAAGCTTTACAAACCATTCTGGCTCGTACTGCACACTTGCAACCGGCCGTTCAGGAGGCTGCTGCTGCTGTGCCCGAACCCATTCCCACTCCAGTACCTGTTCCCGCTCATGTAGTTCACATGACGCCGCCACAGCGCTACAGTGGTGACCCAGCATTGTGTCGTGGTTTCCTCAACCAAATCGACATCCATTTGGTGATGAATCCACGCTCCTATCCCACTGACAGATCTAAAATTGCCTTTTTGATAAACCACTTGTCCGGGAGAGCTTTAGCATGGGCCAACCCCATTTGGGAAAATACGTCTCCTATGTCCTTTGCTGATTTTCTGACAGCTTTCAGACGCACGTTTGATCAACCCGGTAGGGTTGCTTCTGCTGGCAAGGCTCTGCTTAGGGTCCGACAGGGTAACAGGTCTGTAGCAGATTACACTATCGAATTTCGTACTCTAGCAGCTGAAGTGGTTTGGAATAATGACGCCCTCGTAACAGCCTTTCAGGAGGGTCTGGCCGCTTATATACTGGATGAAATAGCATCCAGGGAATTACCTGCTCTTCTAGATGATGTTATAGACTATGTGATTCTTATAGATAACCGTATTAGAGAGAGGCGTAGCCAAAGACGGTTGGATACACGGGTGTTACCTGCTCTACCCAGTACTTCCCTGCTAGCGTTACCCGCTCCTGTGCAGCCATCCCCTGAACCCATGCAGTTGGGTGCTACAGGGTTAACTGAGGCCGAAAGAGCGTACCGTAGAAGGGAGGGGTTATGCCTTTATTGTGGGAAGAGGGGGCATCACTGTAAAGCCTGCCCTAAACTACAGGGAAACTGCAGCACCTAAGGCCTAGAGAGGGGTCGGCCTCGGGTGTTATGACCTTGTCCCCTCATATGTCCATCTCTAGACCGTTTATTACGGTTTCTCTCTTGGTCAATAAAACCACTATAACAACCAAAGCCCTGATCGATTCAGGTGCGGCAGACAACCTTATGGATGAGACCTTTGCCAAAACCGCAGCCCTGAATTTGATTCGAAAGGAGACACCCTTGGCCGTTGAGGCCATAGATGGTAGACCACTGGAGAAACCTCTGGTGACCCATGAAACCCAGGAAATAGTTATGTCTGTGGGTGTTTTGCACAAAGAGAAGTTAACCTTCCAAATAATTAACTCCCCAACAGCCTCCATCGTTCTAGGTTTTCCCTGGTTAGTTAAACACAACCCTGTTCTTGATTGGGGTTGTTTAGACATACTTTCCTGGGGGGAATCTTGTCAGCGAGACTGTGTGGCTCATGTACATCCTGTCTGTTTACTTAACGTACCCACGGCTAAACCACTCTCGGTTTCTGTGCCCTCTGTTTATGCGGATCTTGCCTTGGTTTTTGAGAAGAGGGAGGCAGATAAGCTACCTCCACATCGTGAGTATGATTGTGCCATAAACCTCTTACCGGGCACTATGCCTCCTAGGGGAAAGGTCTACCCTCTTTCTGAAAAAGAGAACCAAATCATGGAGGAGTACATACAGGAATCCCTAAGAAAAGGTTTTATTAGAAGGTCCTCCTCTCCTGCTGGTGCTGGTTTCTTTTTTGTGGCTAAGAAGGAGGGTGATTTGAGGCCATGTATAGACTACAGGGGTCTGAACAATATAACGGTTAAAAACGCCTACCCTATCCCCCTCATCACTGAGTTGTTTGATCGTGTTAAAGGTTCTAAATTTTTCACCAAATTAGACCTCAGGGGGGCTTATAACCTTGTCCGTATAAAGGAGAATGACGAGTGGAAGACAGCCTTCAACACACGCAGTGGGCATTACGAATATCTGGTCATGCCTTTTGGATTGTGTAATGCTCCTGCCGTGTTTCAGGACCTCATAAATGATGTCCTTAGGGATCTATTGCATGTCTGTGCTGTAGTATACCTTGACGACATACTTGTGTATTCTCCTGATTTGAAGTCACACCATAACCATGTTAGGATGGTGCTCAAAAGGCTATTGCAGAACGGACTCTACTGTAAGTTAGAAAAATGTTTATTCGATCAGACCTCTGTGCAATTCCTAGGATATATCATTACTGAACAGGGTTTCAGTATGGATCCTGCTAAATTGGAAGCTATAATGTCCTGGCCACTTCCCCAAGGACTAAAGGCTATCCAGCGTTTTATAGGATTTGCCAACTATTATAGGAAATTTATAAAAACTTTTCACCACTCATATCTCCCATAACGAAGTTGACAAAAAAAGGTCTACATCCTAGGGTTTGGACTCCTGAAGCCCTTAAGGCCTTCGAAACCCTCAAGAAGGCATTTGCCTCTGCTCCAGTGCTGCACCACCCTGATCCTTCTCTTCCCTTTGTTATGGAAGTAGACGCCTCGGAGTCAGGTGTGGGAGCCGTACTGTCACAGAGGTTGTCTTATGACAAACCCCTCCATCCCTGTTGTTATTTTTCTAAAAGGTTGTCTGATTCAGAGAAGAATTATGATGTTGGGAATAGGGAACTATTAGCTATTGTGTTAGCTTTCAAGGAATGGAGGTACTTATTAGAGGGTTCTAGACACAAAATTATGGTTATAACAGATCATAAGAATCTATCCTATATTGCTGATGCTAGAAGGTTATCTGCCCGGCAGGCTAGATGGTCTCTATTTCTCTCACGCTTCCAATATGTTATCACCTATAGACCTGGTTGCCGTAATGCCAAGGCTGACGCCATCTCTCGGCAGCATGAACCAGTAGAATTTGTTAACCCGACTCCTGAACCTATTGTACCTGAGTCTCAGATAATAGCTGCTACCCGTTTGGTTGTTTCTTCACCTTTCCTTACCAGTATTAAGACATACCAAACCCAGGCACCCCCTGAGACACCGGTTGGTAAACTATACGTTGAAGCTAATGACAGAAAAAAGTTGTTAACTTTATTTCACACAGCCAAAACTGCTGGTCATCCGGGGGTTACCAAAACCTACAAGGGCCTCCTTCAACAGTTCTGGTGGCCTTCACTCAAGCGAGACGTAGTGGATTTTGTTCAGGCTTGTCAGGTCTGCACGCAATGTAAGTCCCCTAATATGAGACCCCAGGGTTTTCTGATGCCTCTATCTATACCCAAGAAACCATGGACCCACTTATCCATGGATTTCATTGTAGACCTGCCTCTTTCTGATGGTCAGACGGTGATACTGACTGTGACGGATAGGTTCTCTAAAATGGCGCACTTCATTCCGCTTAAGAAACTGCCTTCTGCGGTTCAGTTAGCTCAGGTATTTGCCAAAGAAGTGTTCCGATTGCATGGGGTACCCCAGGATATCGTATCTGACAGGGGCCCTCAATTTGTCTCTCGGTTCTGGAGGGGCTTTTGTGCTGAGATGGGGGTATCCTTGTCGTTTTCTTCCTCCTATCACCCGCAATCTAATGGTGCGGCCGAACGTGCTAATCAGTCTGTGGAATTGTATTTGCGCTGCTTCACTAATGCGCACCAGGATGACTGGTCTCGCCTTCTTCCGTGGGCTGAATTTGCCAGGAATACGGTGTCTCATTCGTCTACTGGCTTAAGTCCTTTTGAGGTTGCTTATGGGTTTCGTCCTTCTGTCCTTCCCGGTGCGTTCTCCGACAAGGGAATGCCCGCCTTGGACCAGCACCTCGCCTCTTTGCGGAAGACATGGGATCAAGTCCATGTTGCGCTGTCTCGTTCAGCGGCTGCTCAGAAAAAGTTTGCTGATCGCCGTAGGGTTGCGGCCCCTTCCTATGTTCCGGGTGATAGGGTATGGTTGTCCTCCCGGAACCTCCGTCTCAAGGTTCCCTCG